ACACAAGAATAATAATATATATATATATATATATATATATATATATATATATATATATAGATATACATTACACATACTGTTCTGCGGGTTCGAAATACGCGTACCGTCGGTCAAGGTCGGGCTATTGATCGTGGAAAGGGAGATGAAAACGGAAACTACACGCAGTGCTTAGGTAACAGCTGCGTCACTTTTCTGCAGCTGCTTTCAAGGTGCCAGGGTGTTGTTACACAATACTGATCTATATAAAGTTTTTAAAGTCGACAGCACTTTAAAACCTGAATAAGATGCTTGTTTGCCACGAAAGTTACACAATTTCTATTGTTTTGGTGAAAGTGTTTCATTTTTATATGATGTTCGTGTGTTGAGGGGGAGTATGGTGGCTGGGGTCAGGTTACAGACAATGAAAACCTGTATATGGTTCAAAACAAGATTATTTATATGAGAGCCAACTATATTTTCCAATGAAAATGAATTTAATGTTTTTTGAACATGTACAATGTATGTGTATGGATCTGGTTGGTAATCTTCAGTGGTATATGCTATGATACCAGCAGATTAAAATGTTTTTTTTTTGTTGTTTTTTTTCAGGCTTGTCCACTTAATCCTGGGCCAAACCCTCTGGACAGTGGTGGTAATTCCCGTATTATGGAAGATTTTTCTGAACGGTTTTCCCCAGCAATCAGGGGTGTTGTGGAGTTTGCCAAGAGAATTCCAGGATTTAATCTTCTAGCTCAAGATGATCAAGTAACCTTACTCAAGGTAAGTCTGGGTGACCTGAGGAACCTTTTAATCTTTACTGCTTTCCCATCAAATGGGTGATTCTCTGTTTCTAGTATGACACATAAAACTAAACGTGTTATTAATGTTGTTCTGTTCACATGTTTCACTAGTTTTTTTCAAATGCACTAAAAGCTGTAGTTTCGCAACCTAATCTCTTAAAGATCAAAATAATTAAATACTGTTATGGTTTTTGTTGTTGGAATTACTTATGTGAGTATAGCTAAAGGCTGATGTAGTTTTTTATTTCTTACTTTGCAGGCTGGTGTATTTGAAGTTTTGCTTGTTCGTTTGGCTTGCATGTTCGACGCCCAAAACAACTCTATGATTTGTCTTAATGGTCAGTGTCTTCAGAGAGATGCAATTCATTCCGCTAGCAACGCCCTCTTTTTGCTAGACTCCATGTTTGACTTCGCTGAAAGACTAAACTCGCTTCAGCTGGCCGATAGCGAATTGGGAGTTTTCAGTGCTGTCGTGCTTATTGCAGCGGGTGAGCTAATATTCCCATTGTTTATGTCATTGTTAAATGAATTAAACACTACAGCTGCTTTATTTATATTTTCTACGTACATACTTGCTCTTAAAAATTATAACTGACTAAACGGTTAATGTTTTTAGATGTTAGGACTCTTAACTTCTTTATAATTATTTTGATAAATGTAGTTTTAAAAAAAGTTTTTACTTCTGACGTCAGTAAAACTTAAGATCATTATCAGAAGATTGGAGGTAATTTAATATAAATATTTTACTATTGTAAATAATCTACTGACCTATTTTCTACTGAAGCTAGTGAAGGTCATTCTTTGATATGACCTACTTAATGTTTAGTTAGTGGGTGACAGCATTAGAAAGCTTGTTTGGTTTTTTTTTTAGAGCCAGGTGTCGCTGTGGCATATCTGACCTTGAACCTCTCTCCATCATAGGCAGAGAGAAATGGTGTAACGTAGTGTTAACGATCAATACTGTGTCTGCCATGTGGCTTAGTTCTTGCAGAGAGCTAGCTAGTACATGGCCTTGGCATTGTTTTTTAGCTGTTGATGCTGTATGTTTGATCAATCTGTTTGTTTTTGTTTTGCGCACTTGAAGTAAATGCTTCTTTCTTTGTGTTTTTTACAGATAGACCAGGTCTTCGAAATACTGAATTGGTGCAGAAGGTACATAAGAAGTTGACGGACGTTCTTCAAAAAGCATTAGCTGCTCGACACCCAGAAAATCCATCTATATTTAATGAAGTGATGAAAAAAATTCCTGATTTACGTACCCTGAACACTCTTCATTCAGAGAAGCTTCTGGCGTATAAAATGGAACCTAACAATCAGACGTGCTCGGGAGCTTCACAGCCTACAATAAGTGAGTCTTCAGTGTCTAACCACTGGCCTCAGTATGCTGCCCTTTTAACACCGGGCAACCAGTTACTTGGAGAAACTGAACACGGAAACATTTCACCATCTCAAAACATTGGAGGCAATCCCGGAAGTGAATGGGGAAATTCTGACTACAATAAGGATCCTTTTGGAAGCCCTTGCTCAGATGGTAGTGGTGCGATGTTCCTTGATGATGGTAAGAGCCCTGTGAGGTCTTCATCATTTTCTAGCACTCGTAGTTATGATTTGGAAAGTATTGGATCAGTTGAACATGGACATATTGCAGAATTTCCACCATTAAAGAAGCCGAGAGACCATACTTTTGATCATGGTGCAAGTTCTGGAGATGAAAGTTATGTTCCCGACAGTCCAGTCAAAATACCCTATCCACAAGTTAGAAGAGCAGACTCTCCCATAGATTCTGGGATAGAAAGTGGCAAGGAACATGGCCATGTGGCCACTCCAAACACTTCTGTTTGCTCTAGTCCACGATCTCTCGAGGAGAAGGTGAAGGAAGTATCGGAATGTGAGGAAAAGCACGATTCACGACAGGATATGCCTGTTTTAAAAAGAGCTCTGCAGGCTCCACCTTTGGTGAACACGAACCTGATGATGGAAGATGTATATAAACACCATAAAAAGTTCCGTGCTGCGCGTCGAGAATCTGAAAGTCCCACCACCAGTCAAGTATCTTCAGTTGGAGGATGTACCCAGACTAACGTCTCACATGCAAATGCTCACAGTACACTTATCAAAACATTAGAGAGGCCACCCCGCTTTCTGAATGAGCAACAGATCAAGAGAACGGACTTGATCCACAACATCATTATGAGAACTGAGAGCATTCCACCGACTTTGGCAGCTATGGCTCCAGCTTCTGCTACCAGTTCCATGCCTGTAAGTGCAACTCCCAGTGCAGCCATGAGCACGACGGCTCACTCAAATATAAAAACAGCCAATGGAAAGTTTTTCTACAATGCTGATGATATTGAATCAACTGGTATCTCCCAAACTTATATATCTGGTGGTCCTGGTCAGCCGCCCCATAAAATCATGGTCTATCCATCTAGTTATTACATTCCACCAAACACCATGACAGTTGCAGGCTATACATCAGGCACTCCAGTCTCTTGGCCCTTCCTGGTTCCACAAAGTAGCGCTGCAACGGGCACGGTAGCTAGTGCTTCTTGCCAGATGAGGGCTCCTTTTGTCTCCAACAGTTTTTCACAAGCGATTGGTTCAGCTGCTTCAAGCCCTGGCTCTGCAAAATTCCACTCTACTACAAGAGTGCTCTATGATACTTATAATCCTTTGACCAGCGTGTCTGCACCCCTAGTCAACTCCAGGTCTTCTCCTCTTGGTTTCTCCACAGCTGTGATGACCCCAGCGCCCAGTCAGAAGCTAGACATCCAGGCTGATGTGTCAGATGCTCCTTTGAATTTGTCCAAAAAATCTTCAACCGCCTTTCAGCTTGAATCGTGATGGCCAGTGTGTAAGTGATAAGGCTGTGTTCAGACCAAAAGACTGTTACGTAGCCCCAGAGGTTGCATAGTATCTCAATGGAAACTATCCACGTGGTTGGTTTTGCAGCGCTTTTAAGCACCGTGTTATGTGTGCAAATGTTGTATAGAGTAAAGTGTAAATAAATGATGATTTTGGTTGTACATAAATATTATATAAATTATTTAAAGAAACGAAGCTAGACAAGTGACTTGAGATGGGAACAATTAACGGATTGAACGGACAAGTTTTATGTATTAGTTAATTCCAAAGCCCTTATAAGATATATATATTTATGTGCTTCTCAAACCACGTAACGTGCCGTTCATGCCATCAAAGTTAAGGTAAAGGGATCGCGCGAGTTATAATCATATGTTCTCAATATTGAAATGTGTGTAAATATAGCGGAGTTATTGTCTGGCTTCGTAAGCTTTATTAACTTAAGGATTGTAAATTGATTGAGTATAAGCTTATATGTTTGTGCAAAGAGGAGGACTCCACAAGTATGTCAGTATTATTGCTGTGTCCCAGTTTAAAATTCCGCATTCTCTTGTCTTTAAACAAGTTAGTTTAGAATTTTGTCTTTCGTGTCATCTCCGATGTCATATACCCTTGTAAGTCACTTCACTTGTCATTGAAATAAAGTTTGTTTTTCTGAGGAATTTATTGTTTTCAATGTCTTTTACTTCGCGCTTTTTTACGTAATGTTAATTTAAACTAGAATAATATTTGAACCGTTTGAGTACCCCGTCAAAAATAGATCTAAATGACAATTAAACCTAAATATGTTTGTTTTTCCTTTAATTGTGATAAGCAGGATGACCGAAAAGCAATAGGACTGTTACGCATCTAAAGCATATTTAATTAATTTCATTTAATTAACTTCAGTAATTGATGCATTAGCAACCGTCGTAATGAAAACCATTTACCTTGAATTGTATCAAACAATTCTTATTGAGGTTTCTAAAATCGTATTGCTTTTGGTCACTATATAAAAAGCAGGACGCTTATTCTAGACATAATTCAGGCAAAGTTGATAACTGACAGTGTACCCCTTCTACACACACGCGCAGACACTAAGTCTGTTTTTTGTTTTTTTCATTAACAACATTATAGTGTACTTATTCGAAGAGACTTGGGAAAGTAGGTCACGGTGACTTATTTCAATCTGTTAAAGACACCCACCTTTATATCTAACGACAAACAGTGTTTGAATGAACGAATCTAGGTACAACTTTAAATATTTTAAAATTACTTTGTAAACATTTCGTTGTTAGAATTTCTACGAGGTATATAGATAGAAAATGTTAATTTTTTTTCGTTTGTTATTTAAGAACCTGAAACATTTTTCTTTTCATAAATGAACTGTGCAAAAATATTAATAAGATAAAAGCAAAAACTTTATTATGAATCCGTCAGTTTGGTAAGTGAGAAAAAGAAAAGTTACTGTTTGTATCTGATTATTCTACAAAATATTTTTAAAATGTTAAAGCTCAAACCAGTACACGTCACATTATCAATCTCAACTTAAGCGTAAAAACCTCTTTCTTTTTCGAATAAAGAGATCAAAAAGAAGCTGTGATATACAAGTCCTATCTCGTCTTGTCAATAACACAGTCGCTTTCATCAATGGAATATATTTATCTTAGCCCCCCATTGGCACAGCGGTATGTCTGCGGACTTACAACACTAGAAACCGGGTTTTGATACCCATGGTGGGCAGAGCACAGATAGCCCATTGTGTAGCTTTGTGCTTAATTACAAACAAACAAACATTTATCTTATAGTTAATGCCATCTATTAGTGAAAAATTTTAACGCCATTAACTCGTGACTTTAATACAATAATTTTATTCGTATAAGCAATATTCAATTACACTTTAAATAACGACACTTGTGGCATTCATTTAATTTTTGGACTTGGCTACTTCAAACTTACAAAATAGCAATGTAAGAAAAACAAACGCGTCTTTCACCTTGTAACTAAAAGTGGGAAATCCAGAAGTTAGAACGAAACTATATTGCAATGAGGGAAATCCGTTGTTTGGAAACCAGTGAACATCGAGTTCCTTTGGGATTTGGAGTTCTTATGGTATTGTGGAGTATTACATCATTATTGAGGAAGATATTATTAACGCCATTACGACCCTGCATGGATAACGTTGACCTACATACAACTTTCGTGCTTGTTTTTTTTTTTTTCAATATAATAAGGTGTTCATGCAAAAGAAATTGTTTTCAATATTTAATGTTTCTTTGTTTTAAAAAAAACGGCGAATCTTGTATAGTTGCTGTTTCCTTGACCCGAAATTTAAATTAGAAAAAAGTACATTACGAATAAAAAGACGTGTGTGTGTGTGTGTTTAGTTTTAAAGGAAAAAAAATCATGAGTAATTCTGCCTGTAAAATAGCAAGGTTTTGAAATGCGCCCTCTTTATCTTAATCATAGTTTAACATAAGACTCGTGGCTAACTCGCCTGTTAACTGAACTTAAACAACTTTTGTCCCATTCACGCCGTCACGTGAAAACATAACTTGGCTAAAAACGTGTGGTCAATCCTCAGGCGCCTGTGTGCTCTACTTAGTCTCATAAATTTACAGTTTGAAACGTCCAAACAAAAACAGTTGCTGTTGAGATTTAATTTCAATTCGAGAACAGGTTTTCAGTATTAAAATATTTGTGGTTTTTATCAAGACTTCCTGGTAAATATTCTCGAAACGTTGGTAATAAAGATACGTTTGTAGTAAATACAATTCGGATAATAATTAAAAAAAGAAGAAAGATACGTCTCAAAATGGCAACACTATTAACGTCTTCGGAAGAAACAGTTTTGTTTTAGTGTAAAACTTTGCAACAATTCAAATACGTGATAGTTTCGATTTAATATTGGTAGGTGAAACATGACGGAACCACACACAATTGTAAAACCCTCATCCCAACAGCTTTCTACGTTTCAAAATAATAATTGATATGGCTTCGCTGGTTCAGCAGTAAGTTTGTTGGCTTATAATGTTAAAAATAGGGATTCGATTCCTGCGTTGGGCATAGCGTAGATATTCCATTTTGTGGTTTTACACTTAACAACAGAACTAACTAATATTTTATTACAATTTAAAGTAAGTCAGACAAGTAATTGAATATATGAACAATTTCACAACATTGATATTACAATTTTGAATAATGAAAGCTGGTGAAGCAATGAAAAACAACAGGCCTAATCATGCCCGACTGTGAAGTCGATAATTAAGGGTTCATGTTACCTTGTCACAAGCACTCGTTCCGCATTTTAGAACTGGGTGCGTTATAAGAAGAAAGTCAAATCCAATTATTCGGGCAGAGAAGAGTTGGCGGTGGGTAATGTTGACTATCTGGCTTCTCTATATCAGTTCAAAATTAGGAGTGGGTAGCGCACATAGCCCTCGTGCAAACAAACAAAGGTAAGTTGAAGAGCATTTGATGTAAGTTAAAATGTTCCTGGACGACATTTAACTTCAGCGTCTACATCTTTCATCACTGATTCTTTAAAATGCAAAACAATGTAACAAGTGAACATACAAGCTAAAATAACCTTTTAATTATCACGACGTTTCCTCAGTTTCTTACACTGGCGAGTGGTAGCATACAAGACATACCTAAATTAAGAATTATTATTTTTCATTCTTGGTATATTATATAAGTATTTAAAAAATGTATGTGGATTTTGTCTGAAATAAAAGTTTGGTTGTTGTTAAGACAAAGGTACACAATGGGTTATCTGTGCTCTGCCAACCACGAGTATCGAAACCCGATTTTTAGCGTCTTAAGCCTGCTGATTTACAGCTGAGCCACTGGAGGGTTAAAATAAAAGAAGATAAAAAGTTCGCAATTTGCACATTAATGATTTTGACAACAACAATATGTATGCATAAATTTTAGGGACTTTTATAAGAAAGTATAATAAGAGCGAAACTCAGTTTTAACAGTTATGTTTGTAAAGCATGAACTGATCGTGGTATCAACCTAAACTGAAGTGTAAAAATTTTAAGTTCTTCCTTTTTACTTGAGATAAAAAAGGGACATTAACAGAGGCTGTAGTATTTTAGTCCCATGTTTTTTTTGTTTTTCTATCAATAGGTCACACACTCTTTCTAAGGAATCGTATATATATATATATATACATATAAAACATCAGAGTGAAACTCAGTTTCGATAAAGTTATGTTTGCAAAGCACTTAACTGATACTGACAAGGGAATCTACAGCGTATATATCGATAGCCTCTTGTCTAGTTGTTAAACATGAACATTTCTCATAAAGACTGCAACTTTTACCAAGAACACCCATAATTTTGCATCTAAATAAACAATGTCCCGAACTTGTTAGTTTTATAAGTTGTGATTGTCCAAAACGACAATAATTTAGATGTTGTAAAACTATCACTAATAAGCGCTATACGCAAAAAAATTTGAATGTTGGATAACCAAAAAAAGAATTGGACTTTCAACCTGAGCGGCACCTTATGGACAATTTGGGCCACAGCCTAAACAACCAAAAGATAAGTAAAATCAAAACTGTTGCAATTTTTTCATTATTTTTTTTACATTAGAAATAACGTTTGACGCGACTTTGAATTACATTTTTTTGTGTATAAGAACGAAAACATATAGTAAAGGCTTAGTTGAGAATAATCGATAATATAAGTCAACAATATTTTACTATTATCCAATTTGTTCTTTATATACTTGCGGCCCGGCATGGCCAGGTGGTTAGGGTGCTCGACTCGCAATCTGCGGGTCGCGGATTCGAATCCCCGACCTACCAAACATGCTAGCTCTTTCAGCCGTGGGGGCGTTATAATGTGACGGTCAATCCCACTATTCGTTGGTAAAAGAGTAGCCCAAGAGTTGGCGGTGGGTGGTGATAACTAGCTGCCTTCC